GATACGAACTTACTAATTAAGGAAGCTGCAGAGGGCCTGTTGGCCCCACACGTGGCAACTCCCTATTTTTTTTTTTTTTTTTTGAGATATATACAAGAGTTGTTACATTCTTGTACAGCCACTAGTACGCGTAGCGTTTCGGGCAAGTCCTTAATCCTATGGTCCCTGGAATACGATCCCCTGCCGCGAAGAATCGTTTTTTCATCCAAGTACACATTTTACTGTTGCGTTAAACAGAGGCTACAGTTAAGGAATTGCGCCCAGTAAATCCTCCCCGGCCAGGATACGAACCCATGACATAGCGCTCGCGGAACGCCAGGCGAGTGTCTTACCACTACACCACGGAGACTGTCCTACAGCACGGAGACTGTCAATCTATATGGGGCCTAACAATTTATAGCTTCTAAATTAATTCAGATATGTCTAACCTACGCTTGAAACAGTAACGGATCCCGCGTCTTTTGTTACCCGATAATTGGTTCCACAAATCAACAACTCTGTTACCGGAGCAGTATTTACCCAGGTCTTCCTAAATCTAAACTGATTAAATTTATATGCAGCGTTTCGTGTTGTATTTTGTGTTGATATATTTAATATCTTATTAATATTCCCTTTTGTTATGCCCATTCATCCACTTACAAGGGACCTGACAGCTGAGTGGACAGCGCTCGGGATTCGTAGACCTGAGGTTCCGGGTTCAATCCCAGGTGGAGGCGGTAACAAATGGGCAGTTTTTTTCATCCTATTGCTCTGTTCACCTAGCAGTAAACTGGCAGTTAGACAGCTGCTACGGGCTGCTTCCTGGGGGTGTGTAACAAAAAGAAGGCCTGGTAGAGGACCGGGCCGCGGGGACGCTAAGCCCCGAAATCATCTCGAGAAAAAGATAAACACTTCAAAAATGTCTCCTCCAATTCTTCGCCTTTCTAGAGAATGTAAACTAAGCTTTTTTCAATCTCTTTTTCACATGGAAAGTTTCTAATTTGTGGGATTAACTTTGGCATTCTACGCTGGACGCTTTCTAGTGAATTTATATCCTTTCTATAGTACGGCGACCAAAACTGAGCTGCATAATCTAAATGGGGCCTAACAAGAGCAAGCTTTACTTGGTGAATAATACTGTTTTATTCATAAACCTCGTGATATAATTATATTCCACCTGAGATCGTGACTAATAAACCGCCTGAGATAATTACTAATAACCGCCTGAGATAATTATTATTATTAACATCTTTGACAAAATTAATTAGAATTTTGCCTAATCTGAGGCCGAGATAATGTCATAGAATAGGCAACATGCAAACAAACCCCCTCTTCACTTGAGGGCAGGTCCCTAATTACAGGTAAGTGCCGGCCCCAGGGGTTAAGGGAAGGTGAAGGGAGGTAGGGGGAGGGGGGTACCTTACCTTGAGGTGCTTCCGGGGCTTAGCGTCCCCGCGGCCCGGTCGTCGACCAGGCCTCCTGGTTGCTTGACTGATCAACCAGTCCATAGAAAGAAAGGGTTGTAGAAGATGAAGGAAGGGTTCTCTCCTTCCCCTCTACACCCTTCCAACATTCGCCTTTCCTCCTCTCTTATTCTCCTCCCTTAATTTGACCCCTTTTGTCTTTCGTAGATTTCCATTAGGTCACATGATAGTGTAATTTCTCTAGCTATAGTGATGGAGATAGAGTATCCATTAAACACTATGCTGTTTATCACCGTGAAGTATTTTACTTAAAGTACTTTGTCCACACCTGCTTGTGTGTCCACACCTGCTGGTCTCTTTGAGACGTATCGGTAGGTTTGAACCAGAACACACATGTAAGACTTTTCAGGAAGATAAAGATCAAGTCAGGTTGCTTTATTTATATAAAGCATACTCTAGTCGGTGGTAATACTCAGTCATACTTGGTAGACTGTAATAAATACTTGTGAACTTTCACTGTCGCCACCTGGCCAGTGTCCGCACCTGGACTATCATCATGAAGTATGATAGACCAGTATGATAGATCAGCCCCGGCACCTAAAAGGAAAGTACAAATGTGTCTTGATAGACCACAAGAAAGTAGACTTTTGTAGTATTGAATTAGGATAAACTGCAACAGCTATATGCATGATTGTAATAAAATCTAATCTGACCTAACTATCCTAGGCTTAATACGTTATCTGAGGCCTAATGTAATACATATGTGCTATACTAGGCCTTTGGAATATTTAAATTTGGTCGTTTGCTTTATTTTTTCCGAACTCGAATAAAAAAAGTACAAAAAGTGGCTTACTGGGCTCCATTACAATATAGTGGTACCATCGACCACAGTCACAAAATAGTACTATCAAAAGAGGATGGGTTGGACCTATCTGATCACCATTCATAACTATTATCTACACGACACATCCCTCACTCAGTCGTCATCACAGCACCCTACACCCGGCTACACCCTTCATACCATACACAGTCTCTCCTCGATTCACCAAACAGCAAAAGTGGGCCTGCGGGCCGCTCAAAGCAACAGCCTGTTGGACCAAATTATCACAAATCGAGCCTGGCCTCGGGCCAGGCTTGGGGAGTAGAAGAACTCCCAGAACCCCATCCAGGTAATATCAAGGTACAAAAGTGTAACCAACACTGGCACGACTTGACAGCGCCACCACCGGCTGATAAAAGAAAACCTGATAGCACTACGGCTCCCCAGCCGAATGACCTTGTGTTTGTCCTCCATTTCCCTGGGGTTCTAGGAGACTCGAACCGTTGACCTCACGCGTGTGAAGCCGAAGCTCTATCGTCTGAGCTATTGAGTAGTCTTAATAAGGAAGACTACTTTTATTGTCTCTGCATTTTCGGCCCCCTCTTGTTCACTCCTTTTTTGGCCTACGTGACCTGAAATCACCACCCTGGAAACACAAACCGTAACTGTCTCTATTTCCCGCTTGTTACAACTTGTAATAAAGTTGTTACATCTTGGCTTAACGTGTTTATGGCGTATTAGAACGTTGTTACAACTTGCTCTTTTGGTTGTTATAACTGGTTAGGAGGTGCTAAACTTGTTCGAACGTTGTACCAACGTCGTAGTTTCGGTGTGTGTTTGGCGGGCATACCCTGAGTGGCCGTAGGCCTCGTATCTTGTTTCAGCCAGTGTTGTCTAGAAACATCACAGCTCCTCGTGTGACCCTTCGCCGGTAACATTTGGGCATGCTAAAGCTGCCATAATCTCACGATAAAGCTGTCTTAATTTCATATTAGGATATGGAACTATATTTGCTCATATTATTACATGTAACCATAATTGTTCATATTATGACACTGTAATTGTTCATATGATGACATGGAACTGTAATTGTTCATGTGATGACATAAACTATAATTAATCATATTAGGACTTGGAACCGTAAATCTTGCCACGTTGGGCTCTTGAAAGGCTTAATGGCATCTCCTAAAAGCTTGTCACCTGAAGAACGAGGAAGAAGCATAGAGCTGGAGAAGAGGAAGGGAGAAGGGAGAAGGAAGGGGGAAGACTAGAGAAATGGGGCACGAGTACTAAGGAAAAGTGAAATAGGGTGGTGGTAAAAGAAAAATAGGGGAGAGCATGACAATGCATGTGGGAATACAAGAAAATGGAAATGGTGATGGAATGGGTAATTAGGTGAAAGGGAGGATAAAGAAGAGGATTACATTAAGGAATAGTGAAAGGGTGTGTAAGGAAGGGAAATAGGTAAACAAAGAAATGTAGCAAACAAGAGGTAGGATGAGGAAAAGGGAGTGAGGAGAGAGCATATGTGAGAGAGGAAGAGGAAAGAAAGTTGATCAGAAAAGTGAAAGCATTAGAGAAAGGAAGAAGAAAGTGTACAATATTTCAACGTGGAGGCAGAAAAACGAGGAATTACGGCGGATATGCAAAGTAATCTTAAGGAAATAACAAAAGAGAGAGGAAATTAATTAAAACAAAGTTGGTTGAAAGAGTATGGAAAGATAATTGACATCAGACAAGGGTTAAAATATAACATTATATTGCAAGAAAAGATAACCCCATAATTAAGAATCTTGATCTTATTTAGAACCAATGCAAATTAACAGTTTCATTATTTAAATCGAAGTTTGTCAAATTTATCATTAAGAGTTCTGACCAGGTTATACACATACGAGAATGTTTATATCATCATATTTCAATTTTACATTCCAGTGAATACTGATTAAGAACATGTAAGCGGACCCAGTTGTGTGTGTGAATTCTGGCAATAAATGTTTTCCAGGTCACAAGTTTTGCCAGCCTTAAACAGGAGTCTTTGTGAACACCAAAAATCCTGTCTTAAGAAAGTTTCTTAAACTGGACTCTATTAGCTTTGTGCGTCATGTTAATGTTTATCAACAAGTGTGTTTAGCCTGTTCTTCCAATGTTTTTTCACATAGTTTCCCTTGGTTTCCTGTTGGGTTTTTCTTGTTTTTCCTCATGGGTTTCCCCCTTTGGAGTTCTTCTTGGTTCTCCCCCCCCCCCCCCCCCCCACCTTGGGTTTCTTTTTGATTTTCCTCTTGGTTTTCCAGTGTTCCCCCTCGGGTTTCTCTTGGTTTCAGTTTGTTTTTCCACCGTTTTCTCTCTACAAGTAATTGGTTGTAAGATTATCATCTTGTAATATTTAATTTTAATTACATTATATAATTATTTTAATTACATTATATAATTATTTTAATTACATTATATAATTATTTTAATTACATTATATAATTATTTTAATTACATTATATAATTTAATTACATTATATAATTTAATTACATTATATAATTATTTTAATTACATTATTATACATTAAAATTAAAATTTTAATTACGTTATATTTAAGGCTATCGATTAGCCTTAGACGCTTTTATGAGCATGTTCTTATATTCTTACATTGTTCTTGATTATATCTTCATTATTCAAATACTTAGTTCATAATTTATTCTTGAATACTTTTCGAGCAAAATGTTAAATATTGGGACCTGGTTCGATCCTGGCATTACTCTTAATAGCATCAATGTCAACATCACAGGACGCTCGCCTGCAGTCCGGTGACCACATCCTGCAGATCGGGGATGTGAACCTGCGCGGAATGGGCAGCGATCAGGTGGCGGTGGTGTTGCGCCAGTCTGGCTCTCACGTCCGCCTGGTGGTGGCCAGGCCCATAGAGCCTTCTTCCCCGGACTTCCAGGTCAGACAGGTGAGCAGTGGTGGAGGTCTACAGGTGAAGCAGGTGATTAGATTGGGGGTCGTTCAGACCCATAGTCCCCCTTTGCTGGTCTTGCAGGTCATAACTGATGCCTTCATTGATCCGTCTAATTACCTAAAAGCTTCCTAGCATTACGTAAGTAATGAATAAATATATTTACTCACTATAACGGTGGTCCTGAACAGAATTTAGAACATGGAAACACACATCTTTCTCTGAAATATTATTATTTTATAACGAAATTAAACAAAACTCGGTAGTAGGTGATGCCATAAGAAGTCGACGATCCGAGCGACAATGGAGGGAGCTTGTATTTACCCAGGTCTTAATAAATATGCTACTTATCCAAGATATATTGTTGCCTGGAGTGTGTTTGCTGGCTTATCAGCCTCCTGTACCTAATCTAACCTCCAGGTAACACTATATCTTGGATAAGTAGCACAGCATTGTCGCTTGGATCGATGGCTTCCTATGGCATCACTTGCCCTTGAGTTTCATCTAATTTCGTTATGAAATATTATTTCAGAGTATAGATATATTTTTTTTATATTCTACATTCAGCATCAACATTATAGAGAGTAAATATGTAATATTTCTTCATTACTTACGTACTGATAGGAAGCTTTGGGTAATTAGACGGACCAGCCTTCATTGGATGTATAGATTTTATATAGGCACATTTTTAAATATGTTTTAATATATTAGTGTTACACGTTTAAATACATTAGTGGTATACACGTTTAAATACATTAGTGGTATACACGTTTAAATACATTAGTGGTATACACGTTTAAATACATTAGTGGTATACACGTTTAAATACATTAGTGGTATACACGTTTAAATACATTAGTGGTATACGCGTTTAAATACATTAGTGGTATACGCGTTTAAATACATTAGTGGTATACACGTATAAATACATTAGTGGTATACACGTATAAATACATTAGTGGTATACACGTATAAATACATTAGTGGTATACACGTTTAAATACATTAGTGGTATACACGTTTAAATACATTAGTGGTATACACGTTTAAATACATTAGTGGTATACACGTATAAATACATTAGTGGTATAACCGTTTAAATACATTAGTGGTATACACGTTTAAATACATTAGTGGTATACACGTTTAAATACATTAGTGGTATGCACGTATAAATACATTAGTGGTATACACGTTTAAATACATTAGTGGTATACACGTTTAAATACATTAGTGGTATACACGTTTAAATACATTAGTGGTATACACGTTTAAATACACTAGTGGTATACATGTTTAAATACATGAATGCTATACACACGTATACATAAGTCTCAACTATCGGACGTTGGTATACAGGTGGGGCGGTCGGCGCCCATTGTGGAGACGCGGGTCCTTAACGACCCTGAAGAGCTGGAACGCCGAATTAGCATGTTACACAACGGCTACCCTCCCGCCGTCGCTGCCTCCTCTTCCACTGCCGTTGTGGTGGTTCCCGTTGCCGTAGCTGCTGCTTCTTGTAATATTTAATTTTAATTACATTATATAATTATTTTAATTACATTATTATATAATTATTTTAATTACATTATATAATTATTTTAATTACATTATATAATTATTTTAATTACATTATATAATTTAATTACATTATATAATTTAATTACATTATATAATTATTTTAATTACATTATTATACATTAAAATTAAAATTTTAATTACGTTATATTTAAGGCTATCGATTAGCCTTAGACGCTTTTATGAGCATGTTCTTATATTCTTACATTGTTCTTGATTATATCTTCATTATTCAAATACTTAGTTCATAATTTATTCTTGAATACTTTTCGAGCAAAATGTTAAATATTGGGACCTGGTTCGATCCTGGCATCACTCTTAATAGCATCAATGTCAACATCACAGGACGCTCGCCTGCAGTCCGGTGACCACATCCTGCAGATCGGGGATGTGAACCTGCGCGGGATGGGCAGCGATCAGGTGGCGGTGGTGTTGCGCCAGTCTGGCTCTCACGTCCGCCTGGTGGTGGCCAGGCCCATAGAGCCTTCTTCCCCGGACTTCCAGGTCAGACAGGTGAGCAGTGGTGGAGGTCTACAGGTGAAGCAGGTGATTAGATTGGGGGGTCGTTCAGACCCATAGTCCCCCTTTGCTGGTCTTGCAGGTCATAACTGATGCCTTCATTGATCCGTCTAATTACCTAAAAGCTTCCTGGCATTACGTAAGTAATGAATAAATATAATATATTTACTCAGTATAACGGTGGTCCTGAACAGAATTTAGAACATTAAGACATATCTTTACTCTGAAATATTATTATTTTATAACGAAATTAAACAAAACTCGGTAGTAGGTGATGCCATAAGAAGTCGACGATCCGAGCGACAATGGAGGGAGCTTGTATTTACCCAGGTCTTAATAAATATGCTACTTATCCAAGATATATTGTTGCCTGGAGTGTGTTTGCTGGCTTATCAGCCTCCTGTACCTAATCTAACCTCCAGGTAACACTATATCTTGGATAAGTAGCACAGCATTGTCGCTTGGATCGATGGCTTCCTATGGCATCACTTGCCCTTGAGTTTCATCTAATTTCGTTATGAAATATTATTTCAGAGTATAGATATATTTTTTTTATATTCTACATTCAGCATCAACATTATAGAGAGTAAATATGTAATATTTCTTCATTACTTACGTACTGATAGGAAGCTTTGGGTAATTAGACGGACCAGCCTTCATTGGATGTATAGATTTTATATAGGCACATTTTTAAATATGTTTTAATATATTAGTGTTACACGTTTAAATACATTAGTGGTATACACGTTTAAATACATTAGTGGTATACACGTTTAAATACATTAGTGGTATACGCGTTTAAATACATTAGTGGTATACGCGTTTAAATACATTAGTGGTATACACGTTTAAATACATTAGTGGTATACACGTTTAAATACATTAGTGGTATACACGTTTAAATACATTAGTGGTATACACGTTTAAATACATTAGTGGTATACACGTTTAAATACATTAGTGGTATACACGTATAAATACATTAGTGGTATACACGTTTAAATACATTAGTGGTATACACGTTTAAATACATTAGTGGTATACACGTTTAAATACATTAGTGGTATACACGTATAAATACATTAGTGGTATAACCGTTTAAATACATTAGTGGTATACACGTTTAAATACATTAGTGGTATACACGTTTAAATACATTAGTGGTATACACGTATAAATACATTAGTGGTATACACGTTTAAATACATTAGTGGTATACACGTTTAAATACATTAGTGGTATACACGTTTAAATACATTAGTGGTATACACGTTTAAATACACTAGTGGTATACATGTTTAAATACATGAATGCTATACACACGTATACATAAGTCTCAACTATCGGACGTTGGTATACAGGTGGGGCGGTCGGCGCCCATTGTGGAGACGCGGGTCCTTAACGACCCTGAAGAGCTGGAACGCCGAATTAGCATGTTACACAACGGCTACCCTCCCGCCGTCGCTGCCTCCTCTTCCACTGCCGTTGTGGTGGTTCCCGTTGCCGTAGCTGCTGCTGCCGTTGCCACCAACGGTCATCTGCCACCTTTCACCAATGGCGAGGCAGAACTCCTGGCCAGGGTGAGTACCTGTTTATATTTTCTGTTTAGGTGTGGGGTTTTTTTCAGGGTTTTCGAATAGTGGATTGGAAAAAGACCTGGGTAAATACAGGCTTGGAAAGACCTGGGTAAATGCAGGCTTGGAAAGACCTGGGTAAATGCAGGCTTGGAAAGACCTGGGTAAATGCAGGCTTGGAAAGACCTGGGTAAATGCAGGCTTGGAAAGACCTGGGTAAATACAGGCTTGGAAAGACCTGGGTAAATACAGGCTTGGAAAGACCTGGGTAAATACAGGCTTGGAAAGACCTGTGTAAATACAGGCTTGGAAAGACCTGTGTAAATACAGGCTTGGAAAGACCTGGGTAAGTACAGGCTTGGAAAGACCTGGGTAAATACTGGTACTGTTATATCTTTAGTGTTGCGTTGGTACCATTGTTTCACGTATGCAGTGTTATAATGGTATTAACTACCTCATTAGCTGTGTGTTTCCACAACATGCACCCATTTAGCAAAAATGGAATTGCCAGAATACAATCTCTCTCTCTCTCTCTCTTTCTCTCTCTCTCTCTCTCTCTCTCTCTCTCTCTCTCTCTCTCTCTCTCTCTCTCTCTCTCTCTCTCTCTCTCTCTCTTTCTCTCTCTGTGTCTCTCTCTGTGTACAAAGATAATCTGGTGACAACATTGACTGAATACAGGTGCGAAGGTCGGCTGTTGTTTGCTTTCATAGTTAACTTGTGTGACCATGTCATGGCTTGACCTGACACGTTCTCACCGGTGTCATAACGTGACCGGACCTTAAACCCAACCCGGCTTTGTAGATCAAGTTGGGTTAAGTCCTGGACGTTAAACTAATGTCATTATAGTTCTCGCCTTCAATCCAAACTGGTATTTTTCATGGCGTGATCATTACAGTTTCATAACTCGCGATGGCCATGAGGGGTTCTTTGATACTGTAGTTGAGTTGGTGTTTGATAATGCGGGCTCTGTGGTGTTGGTATGTTTGTCTGTTTCTCTCCCTATCTGTGTCCCTCTTTTCCCTCCCCCCCCCCTCTCTGTGTCTCTCTCTTTCCCCCTCCCTGTCTCTGTCCCTCTTCCTCCCTTCACCCCTCTTTGCAACGTGATTCCACACAACTAGTCGTAGATTGTGGCGATATTGATAAAGTTTGAGAGTAATGTGATTGTGCCGTACGATATCTTGTCTAAAGTATTACCTTGTGGCGTATGATAGCTTGCCTAGTGTTACCACCTTGTGCCGTACGATATCTTGCCTAAAGTTACCACCTTGTGGCGTACGATATCTTGCCTGTATTTACCACCTTGTGGTGTATGATATCTTGCCTAAACTTACCACCTTGTACCGTATGATATTTTATCTAAACTTGTCACTTTGTGCCATACGATATCTTGCCTATAGTTACCACCCTGTGGCGTATGATATCTTAACTAATGTTACCACCATGTGGCGTACGATATCTTGCCTAAACTTACCACCTTGTGCCGTACGATATCTTGCCTAAACTTATCACCTTGTGCCGTACGATATCTTGCCTAAACTTACCACCTTGTGCCGTACGATATCTTGCCTAAACTTAACACCTTGTGCCGTACGATATCTTGCCTCAACTTACCACCTTACTCTAGGAAGATGCATGTCCTCCCACTTCCCGTAAGTCTTTGAGACTCTCCCTGCTTTCAGTAAGACTTTTATGCTATTCTGGCTTCGCCAAACATGAACTTATCTTTAGTAAGATTTTTTTTGTCTCTTGGATATTTTCTAAAATATATTTTCGCCTTCAGTAAACATGTGTGACATAAATGTCTGATGAAAGCCTTCAGGAATTTTTCCAGTAAGGAAATAAAAAATATCTCATTATACCATTCAAGCTTTTTGGGTCTTGTTTTTATTTTTAATTTATTTTTAACATTCATTATACTTTACTAAACCTTTTGGGATTTGGCTTTTGTAAAATTATGTACTGTGATATTTTATGGTCTGTGTCGAGGCATCTTTGGGATTCCTCGAGGCTGGGATTGACTGGGACAGTTCCTGTATTATAGGGACTGAGAGGTTTTTTAAGATATAAAAAAAACTACGATAAAATCTTAAATTAGCGATGCTGATGAGTTATATTTAATATATTTCCATCATAAATGTGCAAGTTTTAAACTATTTCTTTTCCTTTAATCTCGTGAGGCCTATAAAGTATTTTCTCAATTTCTTTTTAAAGAATATAATTACACATCTTGAAGGGAAACTTGAATTTGCATTTTGATGGCATTCAGATACGGTACAAAATTCAGGCAATGGCGTTGAATCGAGTCCAGGAATGCAAGTTGGAAGTCCTTTAGATTGCTGCAATATTTTCCATTTATTGGTGTGTTAAGGAGATAATAATATGGTGTTTATCAGCACAGATTAGAGCACGAAAGGTATAGATATAAATTTTATATGTTTAGATTTTGGAAAGAACTGGGTAAATAAAGGTGGGGAAGACCTGGGTAAATACAGGTTGGTTAAGACCTGGATTAATAGAGGCCTGCAAAGACCCCCTGGGGTTATCTTGAGATGATTTCGGGGCTTTTTAGTGTCCCCGCGGCCCGGTTTAGGACCCCGCGGCCCGGTTTAGGACCCCGCGGCCCGGTTTAGGACCCCGCGGCCCGGTTTAGGACCCCGCGGCCCGGTTTAGGACCCCGCGGCCCGGTTTAGGACCCCGCGGCCCGGTTTAGGACCCCGCGGCCCGGTTTAGGACCCCGCGGCCCGGTTTAGGACCCCGCGGCCCGGTTTAGGACCCCGCGGCCCGGTTTAGGACCCCGCGGCCCGGTTTAGGACCCCGCGGTCCGGGTAAATACAAGCTTGGAAAGACCTGGGTAAATAC